TTTCTGATGAAGAGGTGGGGAGATGTCGCAAACACGAGGACCTGATTCAGATATCCAGAAGCCACATGAATATGAGTGGATGAAGCCTGCCTGTAACTCCAGCCTTAGAAAGGGGGACACGGGAGATCCCAGAGCAAGCTGGCTGGTGACACTAGCCATATTCTTGGGCTCTGGGTTTGGTTGAGAGACCCTGCTTCAGTGAATAAGGTGAAAGCTTAAAGATGACTTTAGACACCCAACCTCAGGGCTCCATGTGCGTGTATACCCCACACACATGTGCACCCCCACACATGTAGACCCCACACAAACGTGCACCCACACATATCCACCCACACACACATGTGCACCCACACACATGTGCACACCCCCACACATGCGCACCCCCATACACATGCACCTACACATACGTGCACACCCACACACGTACACCCACCCACGTGTGTACCCTCCCACATGCACACCCACACGCATGCAAAAACATGAGCATACACAAACACACCACATTCACATGAAAAATGGAAAAAGAATGGAAAAGGAGCCCTGATTAAGAGTGCGTCAATGGGGAGAGCCAACTTCTGCAAGTTGTCCTCTGCCCTCCACTTGCATGATGTCTCTCTCTCTCATACACACACACACACACACACACACAGAGAGAGAGAGAGAGAGAGAGAGAGAGAGAGAGAGAGAGAGAGAGATCAACACCTAGGTACACCTCTATCCCAAAATAGGGAAGCTGAGGCAAAAGAATTTTAAGTTCAAGACCAGCCTAGGCTGCATAGTAAGACATCGTCTTAAGAGGAGGAAGAGGAGGTGGAGAAGGAGAAGAAGGAGGAGGAAGAGGAGCAGCCACACCACCAGAAGGAAATACCCAATAGAGACGCTGCCTCCGCTGAGTGTTGTGGTAACAGCTGGGACTGAGGCAAAAGACCTGTAACACCCATTGTCTTAGTTTAGAGTTTCTATTGCTGTGAAGAGACATCGTGACCACAGCAACTCTTCTAAGGAAAACATTCAATCGGGGTGGCTCGCTTACAGTTCAGAGTTTCAGTCCATTATCATCATGGCGGGGCATGGGGACAAACAGACAGACATGGTGCTGGAGAAGCAGCTGAGAGTCCTACATCTTGCAGGCAACAGGAAGTGGTCTGTAACAACGGGTGCTTTAGCATAGCAAACCTCAAAGCCCGCCCCCACAGTGACACACTTCCTCCAATAAAGTCACACCTCCTAATAGTGCCACTCCCTATGAGCTTCTGGGGGCAAATTACATTCAAACTACCACACTCAACAAACTAACCACCCACCCTCTACCATCATCCACCCACCCCCTACCATCACCCCCCTAACCCCTCCACCCCCTCCCATCACCACTCACATAAGGGGCTTGTGATTGGGGCAGAGAGAAAGGAATTCTAAGGAAACACACAGACAAGCCAGGTGACACCCAAGGCCCATGAATGATAAGGACAGCCAGGCTGTGCCTGTGCACATGGAATTGGTAATGGCTAATCTTGTTTTTCAACTTGAGACACCTGGGGAGAAGGCATCTCAACTGAGGATTAGCCTGTGAATGTTTATAGGACATTTTCTTGATTGCTAATTGATGTGATGAAATAATTTCTATATTATGTGGGGGCCCACAAAGGTTTTCTAGTGAGATCTGAGCTTGCTTTATAGAGCAGGGCTGCATTAGAGGATGGCTTGACCACGTGCATGGTCACCAGGTGTCTGGCATGGTCTGCACTTGGCTGTGCTGTGGGGGGATGTCTTTTGCTCCACCCCTAGGCATTTCTTTAGAAGCCCTTTAGTAGAGACAGAAGGAGCTGGTGGGTTTTGACCCAGGCCCTCCCGAGGCTATCCTGTGTTTCTAACTGTCTCTCTCCTCCATATTTCTATCTACATATTCTCCCTGCTCGAGAGTACCCAGAGGACAAAAAGGGAGCTGGTCTCCCTCAATATTATTAATAATCATTATTAATATATTAATATTAGTATTCTCTAGTAACTATTCCTAACAAATGTTAATTACTATTAGTAATTATAATTATTATTAGTGCTTATTAATATTCATAGCGATGATTTTATGCTGTGAGTGTTTTACCCACACAAACTCTCTAGGAAGCAATAGAACCACCTCCGTTGCTGTGGTCCCTGCAGGTACACAGCACTGCCTTCTCTCCTGTCTCCTGACGTGGTTACAGACAGGTGAGGTTGGGGGCTCTGGCCTGAGCCCCCCAATACTGAGGCATTCCAGGGTGATTGACAGTGGGCTATCACAGGAGAATTGGGCTCACTGGTCTCTCAGTGTCTGCCTCTGGGTTCCTTAGGCAACGGAGGTCAGACCGTGGAGTGTCCGCTCCACTCCAGAACAAAGGGTTTCCAGAGCGTGGGCACAGTGCTTCGCCAACCAACCCAGGCGGGGTAGGTAGGGTGTGGAATGTTCCCTGCAGTCCTGGGTGGAAACTCCCATATGCAGCAGCGTGTGAGCCCAGCTGGCAGGCGATGGCCTCTCACACTGTTATCCCTTTCTTAGCAATAATGTTTAGGTTCAGGAAAGAGTTCCAAAGTATATAGGAGTCCTCCTGCTGAGTAAGGGCTCTGGGCCCCACCCGCCGCTGCTGGGGCCACTTCCATCTCCAGAGGTGTTATTACACCAGTACTGGCCATGCGCTGGACACCGGAGTCTCTCAATGTCCTCATTATATGCCCTGTGCTTCGCGGGTCATGTAATTCAGCTGTAAAAATTTGCCCCTGGCTCCACCTGGCCCAGGAGTGGCACGGAGGGCTGTGTTTATTTTATTTTATTTTTTGAGTTGCTGTTAAAAATAAGTTTAATAATTAAAAAAAAAGGAAAAGAGCTTGAGACAGAGGCTATTTTAATTTGAGCTATGGAGGGAAAGGCACAGATAGAAGGGCTGGGGCTCTGCTGTTTTTATCCCGGTGTGTGTGTGTGTGTGTGTGTGTGTGTACACATGTGTGTGTTTTCGCAGACATGTGGGCTACACACACGAGCAAGGCTTGTTTCTCCTGTAGAACTGAAAGCCAACTTTGTTTATTAGACTGAGATTTTCCAGATCGTTAAGTCGTGATGGGGCTTGGCCGACACTGAGCAGTATCCGTTTTAAACACGCACACACAGGTACACACGTGGAAGGCAGCGGAGGCATCGCAATTAGCAGCAGTGCCCGCAGTAATTAACTGTAAACGAACATTTCTGTTTCTCTCCCCCGCCCCCCACCCCACCCTTCCCTTAGTTGAGTTCATATATGAGCTTCTGAATGAAGCTGGCTTCTGTCTAGGGGTCTAGAAGGTTTGGACTCTGGAATCCGGGGTGTGAAGATGAACAGAGGAAGGCCAGGACCGAAAGAGAGAGAGCTCAGACAATTGGTGGGCAACTGTGTGTGGGAAGGGAGATGCGGCGTGCCAAGGTGGTCCTGGGGTCCGAAGTCAACCCCAGCACAGTTAGCCCCACACAGCTCTGTCCCACCGGTGATTGGGAGGACCCATCCCGGGGGTGCTGTATCGAGTGTGGAAATGTCCACTGTTGGAAGGACATCTGACGATGCCTACAATTGACTATTCCTGGAGGACTGAGATGGCTCTGGTCAGACGGGGTGAAGACAGGGGCACTAACAGAGCAAGCCATCTTTCTCCCGGGGAGATAGTCTGCCTTCCCCACTGGGGTCTACATTGAAGGGGCAGTGTGTGTTCTCCTGGAGGCAGATCCCGGACAGGAGCCTGGCCCACCCCACCCTTCCATGTCCTGCGGGCCCTGGCAGAGGCCGGCGGGCACCGTGTGGAGCCCAATGGCTCCCTCACATTGACTCCTGCCCAAAGGCCAGCCAGCTCGCCCTTTGCTCTGGTCGCCACGGTTACCCACAGCAGTGGCTGCTGTGGCCTCTGTTCTAGGAAAATCAGGCCCCATGCGACTCAGCCTTGTGCCCGACTCGAGCGCCACCTGCTGTCCACGGCGCCCCTGCGGGTAGACTCCGGCTGGATCCAGGGGTCCTCTGAGTCTGCATGGGGAAAGGTGGAATCTGTTTGTGTTACAGCTCGAAGCAGGCACCAGGGACCCACAAAAGCCGTGATGTGAGCTCCGAGGGCTGGTGCTGTAGGGCTTTTCTTGAAGGATGGATGGTGGGTAGAGGATGAATGGACAGTCAAAGGACAGACAGATGACAGATAACATGATGCATGGATGAATGGCATATAGATGACAGATAATTGATGATGGATATAAGTGAATAAAGAGGAGGTTCAGAGATAAGGGACTGGGTAAAAGTCAGGCTACTTTTCTGCCTGACCTCCGCCTTTGCTATTTGTAAAGTTAAGCATAAGCTGCATTCATCTCTCTGAGCCTCGGTTTCTTCATCTGTGGAACAAGAATAATGGTATTCACATTAGAGGCTTGCCGTGAGGTAAGTCCCGCCGAGTTCCTGACCATTGAGGGCATTTGATAAATACTAACTACCTCCTTCTTAGTAGGTATAAGGAGACAGAAGATAAATGTAATAATTCAGCTAATGACAGTGAGTATCTCTTTTCCTTTTTGTGTGTAAAGACAGGCAGAGTGGCCGAAGGAGGGACTTTCTTCCCTCACTCTCCATCCCATTTTGTATCGGTAGGAAGAGTCTAGACTGTGTGATGGCCCCTGGCTTTTATGAAAGAAGCCAGCAACATGTCTCCGTTTTCAACCTTGTGCTGACCTTGCTAATAATCTAGGAGGGAAACTATTTCTGCTTGCACTTGGAAAGTACTGCAAACCAGGTATGCTCAGGGTGGGGCATCTTTCACCTCACAAGGTCCATCTCCAGGTAGTGGCCACCCACTGTGGTAGAGTCTCATCCAGTAGACTCCCAGGGAGATGGCCACTGCAGGCGAATAGCAATGTCCCCATGCCTCAGTGAAAGAACCAGGCTGGAGCCTCTGCAGAGAGGGGCAGTGTAAGTCCAAAGCCTGCCTCTCTCGACATCCTCTTGGAGTTGATAATCCTACAGAGGTCTTCTTATGGTCTGCTCTGACCCAGCCTGCAGGAGCTCTTCACACCAGCTGCAGCCCCCAGCATAAATCAAGTCCGGGTTCCCGCCCATGGGTTATTGACTGAGTCCCAGCTGTCTTCCGGTGGCTCCCGGCATGTGGCTATATTAAGAAGGTGAACCGTAACATTAACACTTTTTTTTTAAGGCCCAAAAGAAAGAAAGACCCTGAAGAAACCAACACTGGATCCAACCAAGGGTCATAAATCAATGTCAGTAAATTTATAAACAGATCATGAATGTAAGTGCTTTTCACGGGGGTGTGTTGTTGTGTCTGCTGAGGAGGAGGGGGAATTCTGAGAATCTCCCTCCCTTCTCTCCTCCAGTTGGCAACCACTCAGTGGTTTCAGGGGGGACAGAGACAGACCAACCATTCAGTGCTGACATCCTGGTGATCACTGTGTGAGGGTAAGAGAATCATCAACTTCGGTGGGTGACAGGTGAGCCGAGCCCTGAGTTTGAACTGAAATATTGAAAACATTTTCCCCAAAAGACTGTGACTATTTCTTTAGGTTGCTATGTTTATTTTTTCTAAGTATCCTACTCTTTGGAGCTCCAGTGAGTACCATGAAACAGAGAACAGGATTCTTCAAACACGGTCTCCCTCACAATTGGATGGTGCCCCAACCTGTGCTCAAGTCCACCGAGAGTTCAGGGGCCCACCTATCCCACATACGGGTCCTTGTGGTGGGGATCGGCCTGGGATTTCCTCACTGTTCTCCTCAGCAGCTCTAATTCTTGGCGCTTCGGCACTGGCCTAGCCTAGGAGCCGTGGGGTGTGCCTGCCTCAGCACACAACTGAGAAGCTCACCGGTAAAGGCCAAATATGTCAGGTGCGGGCCCCTACCCTCAGCCCCTCGGCCACATACTGCACAACTGTACTTTACAAAGTCAAGACCCACAGGCCCTTCCAGAGTGGTGCATAATAACATTAGCCACACAGATCTAGTACTTTCTAGAAGTTTCTCTCCCCTCAATTCCGGAACACATTTCTGAGTACGCACATGCTGTTCTTTCAGCGAGCCTTTTAAAAACCGCACTGGCTCACTCTGGGGGTTCATCTTCCTTCTGAGCTTGACAGAATTTAGAGTCGCCTAGAAGACACACTTCTGGGGGTGTCTGAGGGTATTTCCTGAGGAAGGAAGACCCGCACTAATGTGAGTGCCACCATCCAATGGCCCTGGGTCCCAGAGCAATAACAAGGGGACAGTGATCTGGTGCCGGGACTCATCTCTCTGCTTCCTGACTTCAGGGGCACTGTGACCAACTGCCTTGCCCTCCCACCATGGCGTCTCTTCTGTGGTGGACCATATCCTTTCTAACTGTTTTCTTTTGTCGGTCGGTATGTTGTCTCAGCAGCCAGAAAAGCAGCTACTATACACATTTCTGTAAAAGTCTCTCTATTATTCTGTAATCTGTACCACTAGTTCCTGGGAGACCCTGGTCACTGCACCCTCTTCAGGAAGGAGGCTGCTGGGTTTGACAGTCACCTCGTTTGGGCAAAACTATCCATGGGGGAGGGGGATCTCTCAGTCAACTGCGTCCTTCCAGGCCAGCACTAAACAGGGGTTTCATTTCTTTGAAAACTAGGTATTAAATGTGTCAGGCATAGGAAGTGAAATGTAATGAGGCCAGTTCCACACACAGTTCCAGGTGTGTAAATCCCACTGATGGAGAACAGAACATAGCTGGATCGGTACAAATGGGGTCCTGGGTCTGGGGGAGGACATGACACCCTTGGTGGGTCTTAGCTGCCATTCTAACAGACACTCAGTCAAGACCGCTAAACCCAGAGGGGCCTGAAGTTCCTGGGGCAGGACTTGCTGGTTTTAAGCTGTAGTTGGTTTCGAACTCTCCGTCTTTGTTCCTTGGAGTTTTCATGGGTGTGTTTGCTTGTGCCCTGACTCGCAGTAAACACTTGTGATTTCTATTTTGAGGTTATGTTTCACTTGAACTGTGTTTGAGCCAAGTTCTCCGAGAAGGTAACTGGGGGGCTGGGTAAAGGAAACCACCAAGCCTACGTTAGGGAAAGAGGGTAGAGGCCCCAGCACTGAGACAGCATTTCCAGCCTTTTTTCTTCTTTTAGGATTTCTTTCTAGTTCTGTATATATTGAGGGGAGGGGGGGGATGGGTCTCAGGCCCAACTCCAGAACTACTGAATCCAAATCTGCATTTTAACACAGCCCTAGGTGATTTGTAGACACACTACAACATGAGAGGCCCAGATTAGGGAACAGGCATTGGACATGACGTTTTCTTTTACACAAATTCATCACCACACATTATCATAAGAATTGCAAGGATTGGCTAATACAGAGGCCCTCCTCCCTGGCTGGGAATCAGAATGATGAAAGGAAGGTTTTTGCTTGCTTGCTTGTTTGTTTGTTTGTTTGTTTGTTTGTTTTAATGGATCTTTATATTTGTTTAGAGTTCCTGAACAGTTGTGCTATGCTGGCTAAGGCTGAGGGGTTCTGGGCTAAAGTGTTGCAGGAAATGACTGGATTTCTGTGGGAGCAGGAGGAGGCCGTGGCTCTCTGGTCTCCTCCCTCATCACAGGACAAGGACAACACAAAAATGGATCCCATCATCATCCCAGGTCATTTCAGTCAGGAAGCATGAGGTACTGCTAGTGTGTGAAGTAAGCTATTGAGGAATAAGGAGAGTGGGAAGGCCAGTGCCCGTGGTGGTTCGTTCTGCTGGTCAAAGTGAACCTAGGAAGAGAGTTGAAGTGAGGGAGTACATACATCAGATTGGTCTGTGAGCATGCGTGGGGGGTTGTCTTCATTATAAGTTGACGGGGGAAGACCCAGTCCACTTTGGGCAGCACTATTCCCTAGGCTGCCCTAAAAAAAGGGTCCCTGCACTACGTAGAGCAGGCTAGCTGGATACTAGCCATGCTTGCATTTTACTGCTCTCTGGTTTGGTGGACATGACGTGAAAACCGTGCTATAACAGACTATAATCTGGAATTATAAGCTAAAATAAAGCCTTTCTCTCTTAGGTTGCCTTTTTCTGGGTATTTTATCTCAGCAACAGAAACGAAACCAGGACAATACCCAACAAGAAGTGACTGATGCAGACCTGAGAGCTGGGAGTCAACGAGAGAGAAAGGACAGGTCTGAGTGACACATCCATGTCCCATGTCAGAGCTACAAGGACCTTAGGAATCTTCTATTTTGCCATCAAATACCATACAGCAGGGTTTCAATCAGTGCTATTAAGGTTCACAGCCAATAATTGTGTGTCATGGGGCCTCCCTGTGTATGGTAGGGTGTGTAATGTGTATGGTAGGGTGTGTAATCAGCTTCTCTGGCCTCTACCCACCACATGCCAGGGGTATACCCTATCCCCTTCCCAACTGTGACAATGAAAAAGATCTCCAGATTTTGCCAAATGTCTGCTGTTGGCAAAGTCACACTTGGTTGAGAGTGACAGCATAGAATAATTAAGAAAAATGGCCATGAGTCCTTAGAACTAGCGTGGAAGGCACACCAATGTGTGCTGTGAAGAACAAGAAGTCAGCTGCACACAGCATGGATGTTTGCCCCACAAGAGGGTGAGTGTGTGTGTGTATACCCAGGTAGTTACATAGATGCTTGAACTTCTTAGCTCCTTCAGCTAATCTCCACCCCAGCCAACACCTTTAACCTCCACATGCCTCAGTTTCTCCATGGGTAAAAAGGGTCTATCTCAATGGGCTGTCATGAAGATTGTTTGGTCACTTTTGTCTAACCATGACCACAGTCCTTGACAGTAAATAGTTCAAGGAAGATGTGTTTTGTCTCCGCGTTTCAGGTTTCAGTCCATGACAACAGGGAGGGAGGCATGGCAGATTCACTCCTGGCCGTAGGAAAGTGTGATTAAGGCTCTTCACACTGTGACAGACCAGGCATGATCAAGACAGGAAGTGAGCAGGGATGACATATCCCTAAGAACTTGCCCCCCCATACCCTACTTCCTCCAACTAGGTCCCACCTTCTTAAAGGTTGCAAAACAATGCCACCATCCAGGGAACAGACAATCAAAATATAGGTCTATGAGGGATATTTCAGAGTCAAACCATAATATAATGGTTTAACATTATCAACGTACTTCTGGCCAAGCCTGGCACATGATGGGTAGTTCTCAGGTCTGGGCACTGATAGCCACATTTTGACTCTGAGAATGTGAGCAGAAGGTTGGGTTGGGAGCTGGAAAGGTCAGGATTTGTTCTTTTTGTTTTGTAGCATCTTACACAAGAAGATTGTATCCACTAGTTGTGTGATAAAACACATCCAAAGGAGAAAGAGGGGCTGGGGAGAAGGCTCAGCCAGGAAGGTTTGCCACACAAGGAATCCCCACAGCCATGTCAATGCTGGGGGCAGGGGGAGGGGGGTGGCAGCCTGCCTGTAGACCCAGCAGGCTCAGGGGGCAGAACAGGGCAAGGAGACTCTCTAGACTAAGTGAATTGGCAATCTCTGGGTTCAGATGAGAGACTCTGCCTTTGTTTACAGGAGAGAAACAGAGAAATACACCCAGTGTTAACATCTAGCCTTTGCGTACATACCTACACATGTGTGTGCCCCCCCCAACACACACACAAAACACATATTCCACACACACTCGAAGAAGCAGCGGAGGAGGGAAGGAGGAGGAAGACATGTTCAGAGTTAACCTGCCTCTTTTGTAAGCAAACTCTTGATTTGGGGATTGTTTTAGGCTCAGTAAGAATATGTAAAGACAGTTCAGCAGTCGTCCTGAGTCCTCTTGGCCAGTTCAGTTCCTCTAATGTTACCATCTTACAAGTCTGTGGTACAGTTGTCAAAACGAAAATCCTCTGGTCCATCACTGTTGACTAAATTCCAGGCCTCGTTTGGAGTTCTCCAGATACTACCCCCCTACACACACACACACACACACACACACACACACACACACACACACACACACACACACCATGTCTTTTTTCTGCTCCAGAGGCCCACACCGAGTATCACCTTTCAGTTCATTATCGTTATCGGTCTCCCTAGACTCCCCTAAGCTGTGACAGCTTCTCTGTCTTCCCTTGTTTTTACGACCTTGACACCTCTGAAGAGTCCCAGCCAGGTATTTTTATAAAATGCTTCTCAATTGGATGTGATGTTTTCTCACAATTAGACTAGAGCTATGGGGTTGGGCTTGAGGGGAACCTCAGGGAGGAAGTGTCTCTCATGGCCTCATGCCAGAGGGCCACTGCTATCAGAGTGACTTATCGCCGGTGACATCACCCTAGCCACAGTTTCTCCACTGCAAGTGAGTCCACTCTTTCTTTGGAAGCAAGGGTCATGTAGGAGTCCATGTTCCAGGGAAGGAGAGACACAGCTCCTCTGCAAGAGAGAGTATCCACATGGCTTTAAAATTCTCTACAGTTTCGTCTCTTCTCCATCATTCACTCAATTAGTTATTTATATTGTTTTACACATATTTGCGCATGCACATGCGCGCACACATATGTATGTATGTATGTATGTATGTATGTATGTATTATCACCTTGGAGTAGTGGACATTTTAGACTACTTTAGGACCCAATGCAGTACTCTCTGTTAATCAAACAACCCATTTTAAGTTTTTAAGTTTTCATTTTTTATTAGTAGAAAGGTCCTGGCCTGGGAGTCTTAGAGGCAGATTTGTGGAACGGGGGAAAGGGGTGATGAACTTGGGATCTTTGATTTTAGGTTGGTCTCAAACACCACAGTCAGGGGGCAATAAGCAAAAGGAACAGAGCTCTGTGGCTTGTGTACAAGATGCAGAGACCAGGAATCTGTGCATAAAGGCCCCAGGCAATAGGGTGAAGGAGAGCCGGGGTTGAGAGTCATGGAACAGAACCTCCCAAGACACACAACTAACCAATGGGGTCGGGTGGGGAAAACGCATGTTTGTGTGATTATGGAGAGTGATGGAGTCCCAAGGTCTTCAGCCAGCAAGCTGGAGACTCAGGCAAGATGATGGCTGAAGTCCCTACCTCTCTCTGCTTCCTTTGCATTAGGCTGAACACAATACGCACCCTAAAGGAGGAAATTTGGGCTCCACGGTTTCAGTCCATCACGGCAGGGAGGGCAATTCTGCTCATGGCTGCGGAAGTGTGTGGGGATCATTCACATCAAGGCCAGGAAGGAAGCAGAGAACAAGGTCAGGACCACAGGAGAACAAAATCGCGAGGACCCGCCCACAAGTCAGAGATACTGACCTTCTCTGCCAGCCAGACCCCAGCTCCTGAAGGTAACACAGCTCCCGGAATTTAGTTCCAGTAACTGGGGCACAAAACGTGAGCCTGGGCTGAGGAGGTCACTAACCCTCACCTTCAAAGTCTGAGGACCTAAGTGTGACCCCTAGACCAGTGTAGAAAAGCCAAGTGTGGTGGCAGACATGGGGAGACAGAGACAAGAGGATCCCCATGGCCCTCTGATCAAGTAGTCTACCATGTCTTGAAATCCAAGGTGGACAGCACCTGAGGGACAACAGCTAAGGTTGTCCTCTGGCCTCCTCTCTCTCTCTCTCTCTCTCTCTCTCTCTCTCTCTCTCTCTCTCTCTCTCTCTCTCATGCAATGTAAGTCTATGAGGAACATTTCAGTTTCAAACCATAACAATCCAAAAGCCGGAACACTTGAGACCCAAAAAGAGTCACGGTTACAGTGTTCAAGGTCAAAGGTCAAAAAAGACTGCTGGTCCTGGCTGGGTACAATTGGGCAGGAGGAGCTAATCTCCCATGTCTGCCCATGCCTTTCACTAATGGAATGAGGCTCACCACGCTAGAGAGGGCCATTTATTTATTTATTTCACCCAGTCAATCTCACCTAGAAACATGCTCATGGGTGCACCCAGAATAACATCTACTCAAATCGCTAGACACTTTTGCCCTAGTACGAATAAAATTAAACTACCACCCATGGAATTAGCAACTCCCTCAGCAGTGGCTTGGAGTCAGGAAGCCCTTCCTGGATCAGGGGCCGCCAGAAGGTTAACCAACCATGTGGGAAAAAAGATGCACAATTTCAAGTCATTTCTAATCTGTAAAATCCTGGGGAAGTCAAGGTCATGATGTGGTTGAGAAAGTGACACTAGGTGCCCACCACTTTCTCAAGGATCAGAACAGGGTTAGGACAGGTGAGACAGCAGCCTGGAATGAAGGGTTCCTGGTCTAGAGGACTTAGGCATGTGATTCTCAACCTTCCTAACCCTGCGACCCTTTAGTACAGTTCCTCGTGTTGTGGTGACCCCCAGCCATAAAATTATTTCATTGCTACATCATAACTATAGATTTGCTATTGTTATGAATCATAATGTAAATATCTGATATGCAGGATCTCTGATATGTGACCCCTGTGAAAAGGTCGTCTGATACCTCCCCAATGGGTCAAGACCCACAGGCTGAGAACCACTGCTCTAGGGGCTCCTTCTAGCTGGCTGGGAGCCAGGGGTTTCTCCAAAACACCTTCCCACGGGGTCTGGCTGGTCAGGACAAGCACAACCCACACTGGAAGAAGAGGTGAGTCACGGGAACAGTATCCTGGAGTGGGGAGAGCAGATGACCAGCCACTGCCCCCTGGTCAGCCTGACTCCCACGCTGCTGGGACAGCCTTCCTGGAAGTGGGAACCTCTGGCCAGAAAAACGTTTTCAATACCAAAATGAACCAGATGTGGATCCCGGGACTCAGACCATCAGAGGAAGAGGAGGGGTGAGAAAGTCCAACAAGAGGCTGTGATGCAAACACACTGTCCACAGACCAGCTCCGGAAACCACCGTGGGGACAGGACACTGGGAAGGACCCATCCTGGCAGCTCTGGCTGGGAGGGGCTTCTTCCGCTCAGCTCCCTGGTGGGAGCAGAGCCTGGGGAGCTTGTGACCCCAGCCAGATGGGCAACAGGCACCCCACATGGACTGAACCTTGTCCACCAGCAGGCAGGGCCAAAGCCTCCATGGGCCCTGGAGGCACATTTCTGAGGAGGCTGGTCAGGCCCAGGAAATGGCACAATGTCGGGGACCACAGCATGGTTAAACTTCAGCACAGCCTTTCACAAGGTACCCGCCAACATCAGCCAGGATGGCAGGAAAAGGACCCAGGAAAAGGACCCAGGGAGGTGGGGGTGGGGATAGTTTTTTTAAAAAATTAATGGAAGATGGTTCTGTTAGTAAAGTATTTGCCTTGAAATTTACGGAGACCTGAGTTCAGTCCCCAGAACCCACATAAAAAGATGCCGGATGTGGAGGCATGCTCCTGTAGTCCCAGCCCAGAGACAAGTGAACCCCAGAAGTTCACTGGCCAGCCAGCACGTCCCCCAACCAGTGAAAGATCCTGTTTGCAAAACAAAAGCAAACAAACAAAAAGGCAGATGGAACCTGAGGAACAATATTAAGGTTGTCCTTTATCATCCACATGCATGGGAACACACGTTCACACACACACACACACACACACACACACACACACACACACACACACGAGGGACTTAGAGTCTAGCAGGATGTGAGGAATGGAAAAAGGACAAGCAGCAAAGACAGTCCATCAGTGACTTTTGAAATAGACCTTAGAGGCCTTGGAGGGCAACCCACACTGACACCGACCTGTCCTTCAGCACAGGGAGCAGCCACGGCCATCTTGGGTGATCTCCAGCTGTCCCACCAGGTGACCTGGCTTTGGCACTCACCTTACTTCTTAGGCTGTTCTCACTCCAGGAACACCTGCTGGCCTCAGCCAGGTGAGACCCTGGAGTGCCTCAGAAGCCTGCCTTCTCTCTCCTGTCACCTCAGGAAGTTTCCAGAGGCTGAATCTAGCACAGGCGCGGCCTCCAGCAGCCGGCTGAGAGCAGAGCTCCGTTCTGACTCCCTCCACGCCTATCCGAGATTGGCAGCTCCCGCCCTGCTTCTTAGCTGCCCTCTTCTGACCACGGGAAGCCTGGCTTGGAAGCCCCAAGACCCAAGAGAGGCCCAAAGCCCCCAGACTCAGTACAGAAAAGAAAATAATCTTTCAGATCCACCCAGCGTCTGTGGAAAAAAAGGAGCTTATGCAGCAAGGCACGGGGGCCCCTGAGGAGCCAGGGCATGCAAGCCTTGCCTGGGATCTCTCCCCAAAGGGCTTTTAGTGAGTTTGACTTGAGGCTGCACCAACAATGGAATTCACGAGAGTCTAAAGAGACAGACAGACATGAGATGAGTGTGTCAGAGAACAATGGATGTAGCACAAATTCTAATTGGTCTTCATAATAAAAACCCGGAGCCAGACATAGGGATAAATAAGTGAAAGATCCGAGAGACAAAGGAGCAAACCACAGCCACCTCTTACCTCGCCAACTCCTCAGCCTGAATGAGGTGAGCTCCTGTCTCCTCCCACCATATCACTTCCTGTCTCCACTTCCCCAGTGGTGGAATTAAAGGCATGTGCCTCCAAGTACTGGGATCAAAGGCAAGAAATCCCAAGTGCCGGGCTTAAAGGTGTGTGCCTCCACTGCCTGGCTCTGTTTCTCTTTTAGACTGGGTCAATCTTGTGTAGCTCAGGGTGACCTTGAACTCCTGATCTTCCTGCTTCCTCCTTCCAAGTGCTGGCATTAAAGATGTGTGTCACCACTGCCTGGCCTCTATGGTTAACTAGTGGGCTAGCTCTGTACTCTGATCTTCAGGCAAGCTTTATTTGTTAGAGCACCAACACAGTATCACCACAAACAGGTAACTGAGGAATCTGGGACTACATCCCAAAGCTTCTGCTGTGCTCTGTTTTTATCGCCTTCATTTTTAATTTTTTGACTCTGGTCCTGGTAGACCAGAGTTTTGCAGCAGAATTCTCCAACCATGACACCTCCAACCCTGAAAATAGTAACTGCTTATTAAACATCTCCCTACACAAACCAGCTCCTGAGCTTAGCACTTTGCAGACACTAGCCCAGTCCTTATCAGAACGACGATGTAAAGAAAATGAAATCATTCCCATCTTATAGACATGGACATTGGGTAAAAATGACAGACAGTAGATCCTACAAAGATGTCTCATCCTTTGAATTACCAAAGACAGACTACAACTGCTTTCAATAAGTGGGTGAGTATACATAAGATATGGATACAAGGGAAGCACATTTTTAAAATAAACTCAGCCTTTGAGTTCTTTCTTTCCTTTGTTGGTGGTTTCGGGTTTGGGGGTCTTTGGTTGGTTGGTTAATGGTTTGTTTGTTTTCTGAGACAGGGTATCCAACATCCCAAGCCAACCTTGAATTTACTAAACAGAAGGAGGAAAGCCTGAACTCCTAATGGCCCTGCTCCCACCTCCTGAGTCTGAGATTGCAGGCACACAGCGCCACACCCAGTTTAGATGATGCTGGTGGGTCAAGCTCAGGCTCTCCTCCATGCTAGAGAAGCACTGTACCAGCTGAGCTGCCTCTCCAGCTTCTGAAGTGGGACTTCTTAACTGTGAGACTCCGGGGGTCAAATAAGACAGAAATGGAGACTTCAGTGGATATGTTTAACAGAGAACTGCTAACCACAGACTCAGGGGACTGCGGCGAGAACTGGAGAGATAATGTTGAATGCAGCCTGAGAGATAGCGCGGAGGAAAACCTAGGCGCCAGAAGCTACGGCTGACGGGCAGAGAAAGCCCCTGAGTCACACCAGAGTTTCAAAGACGAAGGAAGAGAGGCTGGAAGATGGATCGGCTGAGAAGGCACTTGCCTTGCGAGAGTGAGGACAAGGGTTTGAATGAACAACTCTCACGCAAAAAACCACATGGAATGATGCGCTGTAGTTCAGCCTCTGCAAACACAGACAGGAAAATCCCCAGCATTCACTGGCCCTCCATGCTACCTGAACTGGCAAGCTCTTGGTTCAATTAGAGACCCTGTCTCAATTGAAGAGTGACTGAGAAAGACCCCTGCCTTGACCTTGAGTCTCCAAACACAGGCCCTCACACATGCACACAACTAAACCAACATGTACATAACACATGCATGCATGCACACATGCATGCATGCATTCACGCACGCACACATGCACGCACACAAAGAATGAGGAAAAAGGGAATATGGCAGAGGCAATTTAGAACTTTAAAGGTAAATGACAGAGAATATTCCAGAACTTGCGACTGGGGGCAATCCAGAGTCAGTGAGTATGCAGTGTGAGCTGTGAGTAAAGGGTTAACACATTGTAACAGAATTTCTCGTTTTTTCTTTTTCTGAGACAGAGTCTCACATATCCCAGGCCGACCTCAACCTCATCAAACATATGAGGGTGACCTTGAACTCATGATCCTCTTGCTTCACCTCTCAAGTGCTGAGATTCCAGTCCAGGAAGCTCCTAATAGGTTATGTAGGGAGCGTGGGCTGTGGAGAGTCCTGGAGGTCCAGCTCCTGGGGCTTGGCCTGTCTAGTAGAAGACTCAAAGCCTTTGGGGAATTGGGAGAATGGGGTGGCAGAGCTGAGCTGCCCCCTCCCCTCCCTCTGTATGAGACCTAGCAGA